GAGCATAACATTTGTTGCTAGACGCGGTATCATTGGTAGACCTTGATAATGATGCCATACGCAGTGAACCGTAAGTAAAATAAGGTAACTGAATAAATAATGCAAATGTTACTCCCATTTGACAGCCTGACATTCATGTGGCCACAGCTTAAGTTTTGCAAAAATATGTTATTATGAGATTTTTATATTACCTTCCTTGTTGGCCGACTTTTTTTTCTTTTTTGATATTGCTTCCGATCGAATAGTTCAGAGAAAACTAAGTAACAGGTATTCACGGTATTTCTGAATAGTGGAAGTAATGTACTCCAGAATTTACAGAAATAAGAGAACAAACCGAATACTACCCTGATACAAAACTGGGTAAAAAAAAAGTGTAAGATAGCTGAAAAGATAGTACAAGCGTAAAGTGTAATTGCTTTTGCGCTTGGCTGGCCGATAGCCAAGTGACCTCACTGAATGAGATTCGAAACAGTCCTCACATGAGATTTTTACTTTTCAAAGTAGCCGTAAAGTAACCTATACTGATCACTTCAGCTGTGTAGTTGGTCGACTGATTCAGCCTGTCATACTATGGTAGAACTAGCGAAAAAGAAACGTACAAAACAGGAAAACAGAATGAAAGATTATTGCCGTCGCACTTGATTTGTCCTCTAGTCGTAGTCTGAGGTCAACAAAATTCATATTCCCCTAAATTTATTTTCACCCAGTATCCATAGAAACTAAGCATAAATGATCAAGCAATTATATCAATGTCACAGCGGATGAATGACAAAGTCTACAGTCACCTGACCTGACGACATAAAAAATAGTATACGGGAAGAGAGAATTTACCTTTCACTTCGGCTGTGATATAGAACAGAGGTCGCTTGTATTGAGCACCGGCTTATAAAAAAAGCTTTCTGCTTACAGACTACAGAGCAACCATTTCTCCTTTTGCAATACTTGTAAGGTAAGAGTCTGAATGTATGGTGTTCAAATATCCTCGTCTTTCTGTGTTTAGCCCGACTAATTCTTCTTCCGGTTTCACTTTCTAGAGTTGGTTGGCTG